TCTGTACAGGAAGGACTGAAGGACAGTCAGTTGGTCTGTACAGGAAGGACTGAAGGACAGTCAGTTGGTCTGTACAGGAAGGACTGAAGGACAGTTGTCAGTTGGTCTGGTACAGGAACGGCCTGTCTAGAGTAATGCATTCACTCATTCAGCAGGCACGACCATTACTTACGCTACACCAGACATGCACAAGACTATCAGCTACCTCAACAGTTTGAAATAATTCCATAGATTCATTATAAAATTTCAGAACACAGATTGTTAAAGCTGCCTCCTATCTCAGTGTCTTATCCCCTCCATTCTTATGAACTGTGCATTCTCCCCAATGAGGCTCGGCCGTTGTCACCACACCATCCATTAATAATGCATGGGTTGGCCCTCGGGTAAAAGAACGGGTAGGACAGTGCTACACCTCCCTGTCATCGGGATAATCACCCAACATCGCTAAAGCAGTCGGCAGCCCCGGTGATTCCAGGCAGGGGCAGTTGGCAGTCCTGGGCTTCTGGGAAACCGGCTAGACCAGGAGGTGGCATTGTATGCATGTACACCTGTGCACCACGTGACTGCCAGCAGAGGAAACCAGAACAGGGCATGGGGTCCCCTGCAACTGGAGTTTCAGGCGCTGAGGACGAACCTGGCACTGAAAGATCAGCGAGCACGCTCAGCTGTCCAGATCTTGGAATTAGTGTCTCTCAGGCATGTGTTGCCAATCCTTTAGGCTTTCCCTTCAGAACCTTCTCAGTATCTGACCAGTGATCTACTCCAGCTCTCACAGAAGGAAAGCAGGTTTATTAAGTACAGTGTGAGCAGTACTGGGTTTGGTGGTGCTGCCATACTGCCTGTCCAGCTTAAAAAAAAAAAAAACAAACCCAGGCTTTATTTTTAAATTACGCATACGGTATGTGTGAATAGGGGGAGGGGTGGTACATCTGTGTATCTGTGGATACAGGTGTCTGGGAGGCCCAGAAGACAGCATCGTATCCCTTGAAGCTGGAGCAACAGGCAGTTGTAAGCCAATGGGTACTGACAACCTCACTAGGCCCTGAAAGAGCAGGGTGTGCTATTTAATGGAACAGCCACCTCTCCAACTTCCAGCTGAACGGTTTAAAGACAAAGGAAACCTGATTTTCCTCCTAGAAGAAAAGCTGACAGGCTAAGCATTTTCTTCTACCTTTTAGGTCTAAGGAAGGTGGAAACAGAAATTTATCTCTTTTCAAAAACTGTGTTTAGCCTGGCAGTGATGGTGCACGCCTTTAGTCCCAGCACTGAGGAGGCAGAGACGGATCTCTGTGAGTTCGAGGCCATCCTGGTCTACAGAGCGAGTTCCAGGATAGGCTCCAAAGCTACACAAAAAAACCCTGTCCAGCTCCTGAATGAGCTCCCCATCAGCAAAGAGCCTACTACCAACCACGGGCTGAAAACAGCCAGGTCTCTTAAACCTGGTCTATTAAACATATTCATAAACTCAGCTGCTGCCAGACACAACATATCACCAAAAGCTGAATATCTAAAACCTCTTAGGACTTCTCCTCCTCGTCCTCCCTAAAAACAAATCCAGCCTTTCTTGACCTCCTTTATCCTGAAAGCATATCTAATCTTGGATTGCAATCATACTTAAACATTCTCCCCTTAAACAAGATGTAGTGTCCCACAGTGGGAGAAAAGAGGCAGTAATAACACAGGGAGTGTTTTTTACAGCCCATACTGGTCACTTACTATTCTAGTCAAGGTTTTCCAGGCTTCGTGTTCCACCAAGCCTTCTCACTCACACTACTCTGAGCAATGATTCAGATTCAGCTTCAGCAGAATATATAGCGTGTATCCCGCGCCATCTGCCAAAAAAAGCTGCTCTCTTGATATATACGGCATTTAACCCAAATTAATGCTGCCCTGAATCAGAAAGGGCTCACGGCAAAAAGCAACAGTCAAGGTCACAAAATTAAGGCTGCTAGATTCAGTGCCAACCCAGTGTGAACGGAGCTCCAAAGGACCACCTTTTCACAACGCTGAGGCTGGACACGGAAACACCACCACCGGTAGGCTCTAAGCAGAACCTGAATGTCAGCTCGCCCAATGGTCACCGTCTGCTACTTTATAATTAACGGAAGTGTCAACCTCGCTGCGTGTCACTTCCCAGGCTTTCCCTTGTAATCCGCCTTGTAAGCGAGCGTCTCAATCCGGCCCTCCCCACCCTTCCATTTGGTAGTCGGGTGAAGCCGCCTTCTGGGCTGTGAGAGGGGTAACGACAGGAAGTCAGTCACAAAGGCCACCTCAACAAGAGCGAGCTGAAACCCGAACTCCAGCCAGTCACGTTCTGTGCAGACTGTGCACCGACTTCCGCGGGAAATCCATCTGAAGCAGGCAGCCACCCTAGGGGTCACCTTGACCCCCTCAGGGTATCCAGACCGAACTTCTGTGCCATGCACACCTAGCCTAGGGGGCACCGCACACAGAAACCTCGGCGACTGCTACAAGGCAGTGCGGCGAGGCACCGGGAGACACCGGGAAACCGAACCGATCGGCCGGCTGAAGCCTCTCCCGGCTCGGACCCCGCGACTGCCTGCCTCGGGCCGCCGCTGTCCCGCCAGAGGCGGCGCGGCACAACTCGTACCTGCGGACTATAGGCTTCCGAAGCCCAAGCTCCAGCCAACTTCTGCGTGAAGCCGCTAAACTTGTAGTACATGGTGCCTGCGCCCGGCTTCACACAGCCGCTGCCTGTGCGACCGCCCTAGAGAAGGACCCCGCTTCCCCTTTGGCCCGCCCAAAGCTCGGCGCAGGGACCCCGATCCAGGATGTGGACTGTCCAGAGAGCGCCTGACTAAAAACATGCTCCCTTAAACCATGACAAAGGAACAAAACGCGTTCTCAAGACGGTGAAACGGAAACAGACTCTAAAAGGACACGGAAAGAGGCCGTGTTGAGGCTTTTCGAAAGCGCAGGCGTCTCTCTCTGCCGCGCATTTAGAGGCGGGCAGTACCAAGACACCTTGATACATGCGCAAGTCTCCTGTGCACCAAGCCGGCCGCTGAGAGCGCTACAGTCGGGCAGGGCGGGTTCTGGGGCGGGGCCTGGTATTGGGGCGGGGCCTGCGTTGGGGCGGGGTCTGGATTGGGGCGGGGTCTGGATCCTGGGTCCAGGTCCCGCTCCAATTGAGCGCTATTGAGTATCTGTTGCAGGGTCTTTAGTACAGAGGGCTGTTAGGAATTTCACCTTCAATTAATATAAGGACCGCCTTTTGGAGCCGGCCGTGAGTGTCACGCCTGTAAACGAAATCCTGTCTCAAATGCCAAGAAAGTGGCAGGAAAGAGGCGAGAGGGAAAGGGAGAGAAGAGAGAGAGAGAGGAGAAGAGAGGGGGGAGGGAGAGAAAGACAGAGAGAGGGAGGAGGAAGAGGAGAGGGGAGGGGAGGGACTTACAGGCTCTGTGCAGAGGGTATACACTTAGCCTAAACTTAAGGCACCCGTGTGTGCATTTCGCACCTTCTGAGAGTGAGAATTCACTGTCATCCGCATTGATGGGGATTGGTTGCTCATCTCTTTCCTGGCCTCTGTTCTTGGAGATAAACACCTGCAGGGGAGGTAACTGGAAAGACTTGTGAAATCCGAGCGTCTGCTCGAAAGATGTGCAGTTACAGTCTTCTGGTTATAGCAGTACTCAGTGCAATTGGAGCTTCCGCTGTGTGTCAAAAACTTGATAAAAGCAGTGTGCTGGTTTCTTACTCTCCAGGGATGGAGCAAGCTTTTAGTTTTTTTTTTTTTTTTTTTTTTTTTTTTTTTTTTTTGGTTTTTCGAGACAGGGTTTCTCTGTGTAGCTTTGCGCCTTTCCTGGAGCTCACTTGGTAGCCCAGGCTGGCCTCGAACTCACAGAGATCCGCCTGGCTCTGCCTCCCGAGTGCTGGGATTAAAGGCGTGCGCCACCAACGCCCGGCCTGCAAGCTTTTAGTTTTATCATCTAACCAGAAGTTTTCACACGCACAGAGTAAGTTTATGTATACTACATTTTAAATGTAAGTTGGCTAATGGATAGATGATGCCAAGCTTGACATAGAATTTTTCATAAATGTGTTGGATCACCACAATGAACATATGAAACAGATATTGTGACCATCTCTATTTTTACAGCACAGGGGGGAAAGGCCTGTAAAAGGGAAGCAACTTTCTGAGGTCAGCAAATAGTGGCAGAGTTAGTCATCAGGCTCCGGATTCTGTACTTTAAGGCACTGTATTACAGATAACTAGATATAAATCCATTCTATGAAGAAAAGGATCGAGGTTAGCACTCTAGAGCTAGGCTATACACTGGATATAATCCTATTTTTGTATTCTGCACTTCTAATACCATGGACAGCAAAGATTCCAGCAGCTTCTAATGACAAGCCAATCCAAAGTTACTGCCTTTACAAAGCCATGGTATAATTTTTTTTTTTTAATTGCAACTGGGTGGTGGTGGCGCACACCTTTAATCCCAGCACTCAGGAGGCAGAGGCAGGCAGATCTCTGTGAGTTCGAGGCTAGCCTGGTCGACAGAGTGAGTTCCAGGAAAGGCATAAAACTACACAGAGAAACCCTGTCTCGAAAAAAGAAAAGAAAAAAAGAAAAAAATTGCAATTTCAGTTTGAGTTCCAGTTTCTCCACAGCTGAGTAATGATTTGAGCCTAGTCATGACTCTTTTTTTGGAACCTCATTTGCCTCCTCAATGAGGAGTAGCCACCATTACTCTGTCTTCCTCACTCACGGTCTGAGACTCAACCATTCAGGAAATCATAAAACTTATGCTCAGCGCATGACCTAGCCTGCTGGTCCTTCCGCCTTTCCACTGTACTTGGCTGTAGATAAGAAGCTTAATTATCATGGTTACTTAATTAACATGGTTTCTTCTTGGTTACTCTAATTCACTGGCTCTCAACCTTCCTAATGCTGAGACCCTTTAATACAGTTCCTCATGTTTTGTTGACCATAACATTATTTCATTGCTACTTCATAACTGTAATCTTGCCTCTGTTATGAATCATAACGTAAATATCAGATATGCAGGATATCCAATATGTGACTCGAGGGGCCGCAACCCACAGGTTGAGAACCATGGCTCTAATTTTAAATTAAACGGATGCCGGAATTCTTTATCCTAAGGAAAAATAATAAGCTTGTTAGCAATATTGGATGGAAGGAAAGGTTTTTCCCAGATTTATATGGAAAAAGAAAAATGAATGGTTTGGGACAGTCCTCTCCGCCCCTCCTATTTCTGGACATATTTTGGAAGAAGTGGGAAAGAATGTCCCTTAACTTCTAACAGCATTAAGGTGTAGCAGCTTCTTGAAATATAAAGGTGCCTGTCAACACTGGTTATTTTTTTGAAGTCCCTGCCTTCTGATTTTAGATCCTGCAAGACATAATTTAAGAATCCTGAAAATGTTACAACAGCCGGGCTGTTCAGTGGGAGATAAAATGTCAGTAGCAGAGTGTGGGTTGGGATGTCACATGGAGTGGCTGATCATGGGAAGATTTTTTTCCCCTCATTTCCCAAATAAAATGCAGCACACCCTGACAGTACCAAAGCACACTTTCCTCATCCACGTTTGTGCATCCCACCCAACCATCAGACATCTTCATTTTTTATCAGGATGCCTCTCCCCCCCGATCTTATTCTGAGGGCCAGTGACCAGGATCAGAGGGTAAAGAAGCTTGCTAACTGCTCAGTGAATGGAGGGAGTGCAAACGCAAGCTGGAAGGATGGCTGGCAAATTAGCAAGACGCTCTGTTTCTCCATGTGTGAGGGCTGTGTGCTAATGGCCCCGGGCAGGCTGCTCTGGGAAAGCATTTAGGCCCTGGGTGGGTAGCCAAGATAAATTTTAAATTGAGTCATGCTCAACATAAATAGGAACTGCCTTGTGAAATAATTCTTAATTGTTAATTATCTAATTTTCCTAGAATTAGCTTTTTTTTTTTTTTTTTGATTGACACTTGGTAGGTAAGGCAGAGCTGAAACACGTGAGTCTCATAACAGGTGAGGTGATCGTGACCCGTCTTTTGGATTCCTTCCACTTTTGTTTCCAAAGGACTCATATATTACCTGCTTTTGTGCCACCTGTTAGAAGTAGAAATACAAGGGTTTTTTTGGTAAGCATTTGTCTGAGGGATATTTACCATGAAGAAGTGACGTCCAGGGCAGAGTCCCCGACTCCCCACCGTTCCTTGCTTTATTGCTTATTTTGTTGCCAAATATGTGGATTGAATCCCTTCCTGTCCTGGGAAAGGACACGTGTGCAGGTGGGTTGTGGCCATTCTGAGTTTGTGTCCCTGATGGGGAAGGGCGGTAGTCCAGGTGTGGTGTCACAGTGACGAGATACTTTTCTAACTGTGGCTCTTGTCTACCATCCCTGGAATAAGTAAGTAAGCAGGAAGGGGAGGTAGAGGTAGATATTTTTCCAATATCTGATATTTCAAACTGCTCTTGATCATCCTCAAGAAAACCACCTCTGGCAAAGCTTTGGAAAACCAAGCCGAGAGCTAAACTCACTTTATGATACTTAACGGTGACACGCTGTGCAATTACCTGGTAATTTTCACGTGGAAGAAAGCTCAGCTGTCACCTCTTATTCGTGTGTGTGTGTGTGTGTGTGTGTGTGTGTGTGTGTGTGTGTGTGTGTGTGTGAAATAAACCCCTTAACTGGTGTGGGGATTTTTGTTTTCAAAACCTAAAATCTACGATTATGTTGGTATTTAGAAACAGCCCTTCGTGAAAGTCTGGCATTTTCGTGGCAGGGAGTCGAGGGTCTGAATGGCACATTTCTAGCCCAAAGGACAGGGAAATGACAGTTGGGGCTGCACTTCCTAGGACAGCTTTATTTGCAGTTTGGGATGAACATATCGACATCAACCCCCCGGCCTGACCTTCTCAGTGTTGAATGTCAATATGGCAGACGAAGCTGCCTCGGGTTGGCCTGCCTTCCTTACAAGCAAGTCAAAAGCGCATCCAGGGAGATTATGGATTTAACTCAAGTTTGACACATCACATTTCATTTCACTGGTAAAGAAAGGCTGAGGTATGACTCATAATTTATTTTAAATCATTTTAAATACACTTAATTATGCACAGGAGAAAAAGTTGAGCTCCAGAACGAGATTCATGCTACTTTACATTAGATCATCTATTAAAATACAGCATGTGTAATGTTCTGTCCATAGAGAGGGAGGGAAATAGTGGCCTTACCTAGTTTGGAGGTGACAGAGGGGTGCTCCTAATCCCTGGGCATCCTTGCTCTCTGTATCGCACATGTCTCAGGATTGAAGTCTTTTACAATGTGCATACATTACCTTCATATAGGTGCACATATACACACACAATAACACGAATTCCCTAAGAGGTAACCTGCTGTGGTGGCGTACACTTTTTGTTTTGTTTTGTTTTTGTTTGTTTATTTTTCGAGACAGGGTTTCTCTGTGTAGCTTTGCACCTGTCTTGGATCTCACTCTGTAGACCAGGCTGGCCTCGAACTCACAGAAATCTGCCTGGCTCTGCCTCCCGAGTGCTGGCATTAAAGGCGTGCGCCGCCATGCCTGAGTGCTTGTGTCTGTCCTTGGTGTATTGGTGGCTTTCTTTCCTGTTTTTGTTTTTAAGTGTTGTATTGTGGTGCTTAACTTTTCTTCTTATTAAATCCCATTTCCAGAAACCTATCTTGGAGTTTAGAGAGGACTTTTGAATGCTGATTTCCTTTTTCTTTCTCTTAAAACTATCCCAGTCCTTACTGCTGGAATTCCTGTTAA